ATGATGGTGTGACTAAAAATCAAAGGGCTGCATTTTGGACCGACATTTACACCTAATCATGTATGTTAGGATATTTTTCAATAAACTTAAGAGGATGGTTGCTCAGTCTAACCCTCTACCCCCAACATGCACCATGCTCTCATTTTCTAGACTCGGTCGTAGGTTTTGGTACATTAAATTCCGTCGTCAGTGCCCAACCTTGGAAAAATGAAATGGGCAATGTTGATCAAAATCAATGGTAATTTGTTTTTAATTAAATGATAGAGATGTTGAATTCAAATTACATTAAAAGAAAGTGAACAAGTAAATGTCATCTCTACTGCTATGTATAAATAAAATGGAAACATTAGAGATCAAAATTGATTAATCATACAAAATTTGAAATTTTATACAAAAATCTAAAGGTCTTTTATGGATATAAATACAAAAAATTATTATTTAGTTCAAATAACTATACACTGCACAACAATAATTATTAGAAGAGAAGTGAGCCTCATAATATTGAGATTCTTTCATATTCAATTATTTATATTTTATAATTTAATATAATTTAAATTGTAAAATAATAAATTCATATCAATAAAAATAAAAATATAATAATATCGATAGAATATTTTACATGCGATTGATTTTTTTTTTTTAACATTTTTATCATAGGATCGGATAGAACTATTGCCTTTGAGGAGAGGGAAAGTGAACTTTACAAGAGTAACGGAAGTCACTTGATCCTATAAGTCAGGTTATATGCGATTGATTTATTCTTAATCTTTTACTAATTAAAATGTATTAATATTGAGTGAATAATCTAATTATATTGTAAATTATGAGATTGTATATTACTTATTTTCCTATTCCATAAATTAGGTTTTACAAGAAGAGATGGTATCTTCTTTCCCCTTTCCTTGGAAAACAAATCTCCCCAAAATCAGTGCCGCCTGAGATATTGATCTAAATTGAAGTTGTAATGGATCCCTAGTCAAAACCCTACCCTTTCCTTGCACCTCACATCTCCTTTTTGACATTTCTCAACCCATCATATCAAAACTGCAAAACTAATTAATATATTAATTTGAATTAAATTATTTTCCATATTAGTATTTTATTAAATATTGATTACTAATTAATTTCACCAAAAAAGTATTGATTAATTAATTAATTAATTCTAAAATGTATATAAAATTAATTATTATTAGCAAAAAAAAAAAGAAAGAAAAAAAAAAGAAAACCCAAAAACCAAAAATAAAAAACCAATCTCTCCATACGCTTTTATCTCTCGTCTGTTTTAAATCCCTCTCTTCTCTCTTTCTATCTGAATTTGCAGAGGTACATTCAACATTAGTGTTCCTTAATATCCGATACCCTTTTCCATTGCAAACTTTCTACGTTGGGATTCTGCCCCAATTTTGTGTCTTTTTTATTCTGAAATTGTACCCATCTCATGAAAAACTCGAATCAGATCCATGGGAGATAACCCTGTTTCTGCTTCTAGTTTTTCTTTCTCAATTCAAGTGTTCTGTATTCTGAAACCCTCCAGATCCATACCCATATAGAATCCAAATTTGCATTTTTGGTTTGTGTATCGGAATTAGGGACGGTGATTGAGGAAACCCATTTCCCAGATCCCAAAAAATGAAGGGCAACAGCAAATTATTCACGATCGGATTGGTGGCGGCATGGTATTCGTCCAACATTGGGGTTTTGTTGCTCAATAAGTACTTGCTTAGCAACTATGGCTTCAAGTACCCGATCTTTCTCACCATGTGCCACATGACCGCCTGTTCTCTGTTGAGCTACATCGCCATAGCGTGGATGAAGATGGTCCCAATGCAGACGATTCGATCCCGAGTCCAGTTCTTCAAGATCTCCGCCCTTAGTTTGGTGTTCTGTGTGTCGGTGGTGTTCGGCAACATCTCGCTCAGGTTCTTGCCGGTGTCCTTTAACCAGGCGGTTGGGGCTACGACGCCATTTTTCACGGCAGTCTTCGCGTACTTGATGACGTTGAGGAGAGAGGCTTGGCTCACCTATGTCACTCTCATTCCGGTGGTCACCGGCGTTATCATTGCTAGCGGGGTATGTACTTGCTACTTCTGTTGAATGCAAATGCTAATTTTGTTGAGCTTGTCTTAGGATTTATCTGGATTGTGGACATGGGTATGCTTTAATTGCTGGTATTTTGTTGAATTCTGTTTGGTGTGATATAATTTTAATGGTATAGTGGAGGTTAATTAATGCTCGAATATTGTTATTCGCAGTTACTTGTAATTGTCAAGTCATTGTTTCTTTGGGATATTCATATCTAGTTTTTATGTTGGATTTCACCAGCTGCACCAAATGAAATCCTTAATTGTAGAAGGATTTTTAGGTTTTGCTATTTCAAAGTCAGTACTCTATTTGATCCATGTACTCTCAGTTTGTTCTTTAAATCTTCTAAACTTTAAATTTGAGCGTCCATCATTCAAGTTCTGTCATTAGATTAAACTGACATGTTTCTGATTGTTAATCTCATCTTTCTTATGTGTTCTCAGGGTGAACCAAGTTTCCATCTATTTGGATTTATCATGTGTGTTGCAGCTACTGCTGCAAGAGCTCTGAAATCAGTGCTACAGGGAATTTTGCTCTCTTCTGAAGGGTAAGGAATCGTGTGCTTGTCTTCTGCATTTGAACTGATGACATCAATTTTAAATTCTGCTTTTGACATGGAAATGGTACTAAAAGGCTTGTAATTATATTCAAGGGAGAAGCTGAATTCCATGAACCTCCTTCTATACATGGCTCCAATAGCAGTCGTGTTTCTACTTCCTGCAACACTCATTATGGAAGAAAATGTGGTTGGTATTACACTTGCTCTTGCAAGGGATGATATCAAGATCATCTGGTATCTGCTCTTCAATTCAGCGCTGGCATATTTTGTAAATTTGACCAACTTTTTGGTCACAAAACACACCAGTGCACTGACTCTTCAGGTATACCTTCTCTCCAAGCTCATATTTATGTCCCATTTTTCTTTTCAATTAGTCTATGTGATGAACTGTTTGTTTTTAGTTTGGAGAAAGATTTCCACATGATATGTTATATTGGAAAAAATGGCTGGAAAGTTGGATGGATTATAGGGTCTTTAACCTCTGAGTTTGGGAATCTATGCATATAGAAGAAAGGTTGTTCTTCATATTGTATCTGAGTTGTCTCCAAGTTATTTTAAAGAATCTGAGTTTTGCTTTGCCTCATTCATTCTTTAAACGATCTCTCTAGTATCATATGTCAGACCTTGATGTTGTCATACAAAACAATGTGTTCTTTAGGCATAAGGATTGTAATAATTGAAAAGAGGTCTTAATGTGATAGACTACTCGTCTTTCGAACATTCATGGAAGAGACTGCCCTAAGTTGTTAATTTCATGCACTCATGTTTCAGCTATTGCCCATATGAGTTTTTTTTAAGTTTTAGATTATTTTCTAGTTGTCCCTGAAGCATTTTGAGATAATAAAATGTTCTTTCACTGTTTCAGGTACTAGGAAATGCAAAGGGGGCAGTGGCTGTGGTGGTTTCAATATTAATTTTTAGAAATCCAGTTTCTGTTACTGGAATGCTTGGTTACTCGCTAACGGTGTTTGGAGTTATACTCTACAGCGAAGCCAAGAAACGAAGCAAGTCCTGATTTGGGGATGATTCTATCTCCAACTATTTTGGGTTTACTTACTGTGAGGATAGCGGCAACATTCAAAGAAGCAAGTTGGGGCCATGTGATAGCAGACGGTGTTGTGGATTTTTGCGCCCTAAATTCTATTTTTTTGCCTGGAAGCTTGGGAAACTGGTCTCCATTTGTATCAGCAACAACTGCAGGATTAGCCAAAATTAGAGAAACTACAATAACTGATTTGTCTCTTAGTCCCACCCTGGGGTCAGAGAAATATCAATTTATCCTTTTTATTCTTTTAGGAAAGGGTTATTGGGTTTACACAATTAGTCTGTTATTTACAATTCTCATATTGATTAATTAATGAAAACACTCAATTTTTACCATTTTGTACCTTTTCTTGAATCTTTAATCAGAGAAATTATGTGCTAGAATCAGTTAACTCTTTCCTGTGAAAGATCAAAATTTTCGTTCAGCTTAAGAAAAATTGAAGCTTTTAAACCGATTGAAAGTGAAAATTGACAAATGAAATTCATAAACTAATAGAGAAAAGAAATTGTTAAATACATGGTTATTTTCATGCAAAATATGCTACTAAACAAACGTATTGGACTGATGGTCTTCCATGATACATGCGAAACTTGTGGGATTCTCAATGACCCTGAACTCCTTGGATGGTCACTTCATTGACACTACAACTGACCTGCACGGCTCTTCCAGTGGATAATGAAGGGGCGAGGGTGCTCAAATTTGAATCATCCCTATGCTTGTCCCAGGCTGCTTCAAACTGCTGTCCCTTGCACCTAGTACCAGGAAAAGAGTCATAAAAGATCCTCAGTAGTAAGCTGAATGGATTTTAAGGAGATAGAATAATCCTTACTGCTGGAGCAAGATCAATATATGAAGAATATCTGCTCTAATTTCTTCACGTGCTCTTCTCAATGATGCCTCCTTGTACAACACCACAAGTTCATTGACCAATCTGAATACATGTTGAAGGATTGAGGAAAGGAAATAAGGCTACAAAGCTTATCAAATCAAGAAACAAATAATGAAATGAATCAAATTATGGCCAAGTATCAAAACTCAAGTCACTGACCTACAAACTTACAGTGAAGGTTAAGCATCATTACTTTACCTTTCAATATATGGTGTGTTCCTTACCCACGTTAACCTAAGAACTGCATGGACCCTTTTGAGAACCTACAAAACATCAAACAACAATTAAAAAGAAATACTCACAACTTTCAAACGCAGAATTAGGTAATTGCTTGTCAATTTGTCCCAGAAAATTTTCTTGTTGAGAGAATTACAACTATCTTGCACCTATTTCTGCAAGCGACGTCTGTTGAATGGTAAATAAAGTTCAATAATAAAGGTGAAGTAAATGCTCTAAGTGAAAACTGAAAATAATTACAGGTGTAGTTCGCAATCAATGTGGTGTTGCTTTGCATTCTTTAAAATCTACTATCAGTATTTCAGTACAAGGCTAAAGATATATGAGTTACAAGTTATTTGTCAAGTCTTGATACAAGGTGTAGATGAAGAGTTAAATATCATGAAACCTTAGGCAGAAGGGCATTTCAAAAATCCATTTCATTCTCCAAACATCATACTCATTAGACACTAGAAAGAAAAAAATTGAAAATAATCAATGGAACAGATGCTGTAATCTTACCAGGAGAACTGTTTCATCATCATCAGCATGCATCCATAGAAAGAAAAGAGGGAAAAAGCGCCTAAAATGGGCCAACAAGACAAGGCCTACAGCATTCAAGATTGGCTCAATAAATTTAAGCCATGCAACCCGTCGCTCCTTATTCCTTGGTTGACGCTCCAAGTGACTCAACATCTCATTTAGCATCCTCTCAAACCTAGAATTATAGTGAAAGATCAACCATTACTGCAATAAAAGCATAAACATACGCTTCTCACAACTATAATATCACATATTTTGCCAGCTTCCCAAGTCTATAGTTTGTAAAGTAGTAATTAAAGCATAAAAACTATTAAGAAGAGCTAATTAAACTTATTCAATGAACACAATTAAGAAGGGGTTAAAGTTACAGAGAAGTTAAGCATACCATGGGCTACGGGGATTACTTTTCTGGATACAAGTCACTAGAAGCACTGACATCTCTACTACATGGTGCCATATCTCATCAGCAGAAGCGATATTTTGGCAGCATGCCTCAAGAATGACATCTTCATACCAACCAAGCTCAGCAGCATTTACATTTTTTGCTAGGTGTATAAAGCTAATCATTCCCTGACCCTAAAATCAACCGAGAAGAAAGCATGAATACAACCCAGCACAGACTGACTATACATGGAAATTCTACTTCTTCTGTATTCCTCAACATAGTCTAATACATGAAAGAAAACCCATTGGGTAAAAAAAGGGGCATACTTTAACCTCTGGTGACCAGTGATCAAGAGCCGTCAATGCACAAGGAACCACCAAATTAACTAGCTTTCCTAAATGGGGATAATCAACCTAGCAGCAAAAGAACACATTTCTTAAAATCAAGAAAGAAAAGCCCTAAATGTTTCAAAGAAACCAATTCGAATCATCTTCAACCTGGGTAACAAACCATCTAAACTGATAAGCAGCAACTATAGCAAATCCCACAGGAACTCTAGCCGACGCGGCGAAAACCTCGTCGTTTTCATCGCTGTTATCAATCGAACTCTCCTTAATCGTATCCTTGAGAAGCGGCAAAACTTGGGGCATCAATTCGACTGCCAACCCGCTTTCGTCACCACAAGCTCCGGAAAGCTCGCGAAATGCTGCGTCTGCAGAAACTGAGAGATGTTCTGGGATCCATGAGAGAAGCTCGTGGGCAGAGAAGCGGGAGGAAGAGAGCAAGGCGCAGGCTAAAGCGAAGTCCTTTACAGAGGATTTGTTGGAGAGAAGGGACTCGAGTATGGGTTTGACGGAGACGGTTGCACGGTCCGGTGGAGTGTAGGGTGTTCTAGAGAGAGAATCCAAGATTGGCTCCGTTAACCGGAGCAGATGATCGTCAAGGGCTATCAACGAGCTCCTCATTTTCTGGTGCTTCTTCCCACTGCGTTTTTCAGAACAAGGGACCCCAAATTCCAATATTAGCAGAAGAAAACGCTGAAACGCTGCGTCTGATATGATCTATCTAACTATTAATGGCGCTTCCAAAACGGCAAGCATGGAGGACGTTTTATAGAGATTGATGTTTCATTCTTGGTCTTTTCGCTTTTGCTATTTCAGTCACCGAGAAACTGAAATTTATATTATAAAAAAAAAAGGTTATATACTATGAACATTAATAACCAATAAAACATGGTGCATAAAAAAAAAAAAAAATCAATAAAACATGGTTCTTATATTTTCAAGATATCTTGATATATTAAGACATTTATAAAGGCATCTATCACGTAAATTTGAAATTAAGATTCACGTGATTTGATAGCTTGGTGGACGTCAATTTTCCTTTTTGGCATAGAATATAATGGTAAAGGATTGTTTTAATTTAATTAAAAAAAGTTCTAATTGTTTAATGATTTTATTGTTAATGCTCAAATTTTTTTGAACATATTTGTAAGGAGCGGGTTTCGAACCCAGCTCGGAAAGGAGAAAATGCACTGGGGTAGTTATTGCCACTAGGCCGCAAGGGTCAGATGCGCTCACATGAATAATAATAAGGATAGTATTATATTTTAATTGAGATTATTTGTACTTGAAGAATAAAATCTAAGCATTGCACTCTCTATCTCCTACAATTAGTGTTTTTTAGTTCCTTTGTCAACACATTGCCCCTTAGCCATGGTATGTGCTTGAAGTTTGCCTGTTTTTTCCCATCTTTTTTCTATTTTCCATAATTCAATAATTAAAGATTCATTAATTATTCTCTTTGCACTGGATAGTTATGGTTTAGAGGTATTTGCTGAGCGTTTTTTTCATTTTTCGCCTATTCATAATTAATAAATCTTTCATACTTTATTATTATTATTATTATTTTTAATAGAAATAAGTAACCTTTCTTTTCCAAAGCCAAACACTATCAACAACTTAAAGTTATTAACCACTTATCATTTTTAATATTTAGAAAAGGGAAGAATGAAAGCTAAATATTTTATAATAATTAATTATTTTTTATTAATTTTTATTTACAAGGATTTACCCTTTTTTTTGTAAAGATTTATAACTTATTACTTTCAAAGCATGCTCAATATTCTTTATAATATCTATTAAGGCCTTTTTATTTATTACTAATATGGCTTAGATGATAATAAAAAAACAAAAAAAAAATCAAGTTTTTAACAAAGTAGAAAATACACAGCAATAATGCTCTCGTTCGCGTACAAGATGAATGTGACGAAGTTGATTAGTAAGAAATGTAAGAACACCCAGGAAATTGTATTGTCATTTTGGGGGCAATCTTACATAATATGTTTGTGGCGAGAAAATATCAGAAACCAGTAGAAACATCACCTTCTGCATAAAACCGCTACAACAATGGAAAAGCACATCCAGAAGATCAATCAAAGACAGTGAGTTATGACCAACATGAATAAGCAGAAGAAAAACAGACAAGCACCGAGGAACCTGGTTCTTTGAGGTTTCTAGGTAAGAATTAGAGGACCCATGGGAAAACACGCCAGGAAAGCAGAGAAAAGGAGCACACAAATAGATAGTGATAAGGTATTCAAGCATCTGGAACGGAGGCTGCTGCTTGTTTCATGGATGCAGACTTGATAAGATGATTGTAGCTTCCTTTCTCCCTGAAAAGCTGGGAGAAATGGTGTTTGCAATACAAAATGCCCTCAAGAGCTGCGTAATTTGATGGGCTTATTGAGCATCCACCATGAGAGCACTTGAAACAAGATTTGTGATATGACTGCCCCTCCACCGTAACCTGCAGTTGTTTTTGGGAGAAACCCACATCAAGTTTGAAGACAACAAGATGAAACGACACCAAACGAAGCAATAAATGCTGGACATACAGCCAATTTAAATGTCAGCAAAAGCTGTAGCATAAAGCAAAATCATGGAGCAGCGAAACAGATTCCTGTGGGACATCATCTTATATCATTTATGCCACTCCATGCAATTTTAGAGACATCTAATCCAATGGAGATCCAAATAACATCATCTACTGTATTAATAAATTATTGGCTCAAGAATAGACCCAACTGGCCTTCAAGTTTTGGCGTATTTTCACTTGGATGGTAATACTCCATTACAATGTACAAAAAACATGCCAATCACTTTTTTCTTATGTGGTTAGCATAGCTTCAACTTGAAATTGAATTGAGCAAGTACATAAGATGACCATAGACAAACAATACAAATAAAGGCCTTTAGGACTGCAATGACTGTTAGTCTATTTTCCGATGGTGCCTCTAAAAATAAAGTAGCAGGAATTCTCCGAAGATAGTCTAGACCTATAAAACAATACGCACAGTACCTTCTCTGTAGTCTAAGGGTGTAAACCTTAAAGAAGCATATGAACATTCAGATCAGTGTGCCAAACTCACACACTCACACCCAAGGTCATATAACTAAGAATATGTGAGAAAAGGGGTGAAAGAAGGCAGTGACAAGTCTTGCAATTGCAGAAAAAGTTCATGTAACCTTCAATGTAGAATATTTTTAAACCATACCTTCTCAAGTGGATAAGCAGTTTTCCCACAAGTAGCACATTTGTCTTGTGTCCCAGAAAACATGCTGGCAGCTTTTCCAGGCGACCTTGTCTGCAATCAGAACAAGCTATTGAGGAACAGCAAGAATACTTGTTAATATATCACACACCAGAGTACCAAATAACGAATTCTCCCATTTCTAATTAATCAATTTAGAACATACAGTGTAAGGAAAGTTACCAGTTCAGGAGTTAACTTCTCAGCTGGCTTTGCAGCTGTTAAAAATGAAATTCATGGCCAATTAAAAGGCAAAAGATAGCTTTTGAGAAATACAAGAGAGAGCTTCATCGCGGAAAAGAAAAAGACATACGTGATTGAAAATTCTTGTTGAAACTACCAGTCTCCTTGAAGAGTTGCTCATAGTGAGGCTTGCAATACAGAACACCCTCCATCGAGGAATAATTGCTCAGCTGGAAAATATTCAAGTTATACACCTTAGTTACAAGCACAAACTTCAGTACACAAATCTAGGAAGAACAAAATGCAATTGCAGGGCAAAAAAATCCTCCTTCAAGTCACTGTTTAGAATATCTATTGAGTAGCTTTTCGGATTAGAGCTGCTAATTTGACTAGCAAAAGCTAGTGAAAAAGTTTTATATCTAGAGAAAAAAAAAAGCCATAAACTGTAATGGATATCTCCTATCGAACTTCCTTTAACCTCATTAATACCATGCATGATGCATCAAACTACATTGGCATCCATGTGAACAAATGATCAGAAAACAAACCAAGAATTAAACATGAGTACCTTTAAGGTCCCTTTGCAGTGAGAGCACTTGAAACAAGACTTATGATATGAAATCCCATCTGCTGATAGAAGTTCCACCGGATAAACTATCTTCTCACAAGCCTTGCATTTTTGCTGGGTACCAATAAAAGACATAGCTCCCAAGTATAGTTTAGATCTACCTTTCTGTTTCTATATCCCCAAGATTCACTCCCACAAATCAAATTCCACAGATTAGCTTCAACTTAATTCCCTCCAATTTGATTTCTTCCCTAAATTCTGCCCAGATCCGCTTCTAAAAGGGTCCAAGAAAGCAAACAGGAGGCATAAAATCAGACAAGTTAGTCAGATTCACAGCTCTATTTGGTTGACAAGAAAATATGAAAAGGTAAAACTTTTCCCATTTGGGTCTTAAGAGAACACGAATATTACTCCATATAGCCAACACTTGCCGCTTAGAAGTTCAAATTTCATTTCTTTCTTAGTTTCCTTTCCTTGCCAAGGAAAAAGAAAAGAAAGAATCTTTAAATCAAAATCCCCATTACCTGATCTAATTCGAATAACTTGAAAAACACAGAGATTAAATAGAAAAAACGGTCACTACCCAAATGACTTAAAAGGCAATGAAACTTGCTCGGGTTCAGTTTGTGAAAGAAATGTACCTCGATAGAACCGGGGACTTTCGATCTGCAAACTTTCCAGAGCGGAGTTTGATGTCTTAAAATTACTCTAGCAAATGAAATAATCCTTTCAAGATAAATAATGAGTACAAAATTTTTATTAATTAAGTTATAAAAATAATTAATTTAAATTTATTTCAACAATTTAAAAGGAAGAAAATTCTAATAAAAAATAATAATTAAAATAAAAACAATCAAATTCAATTTCACTATAACCCATTAATATAAATTTCAGATTAATATATTTTCAAAATTAACAAGTTGAGTGTTATTGTATGTAATAATAGAT